AAAAAAAAAAAGGAAGAAAAGAAAAAAAAAAAAAAAAAGCAATAAAAAATAAAAAAGCTAAAAAAGAGAGAAATAAAGAAAGAAAGGAAGGATAAAAGAAAGAAAGAATAAGGGAAAGAAGGAAAAAAAGACAGAAAGAAAGATAGGGAGAGAGAAGGAAGGAGAGTGCGTCTTTGTAATTATTTTTTTTCCCTTTGCAACGTTGTCATGTCTTTCGTTTTTTTCATAGAAATGAGAGAGAGAGAGAGAGAGAGAGAGAGAGAGAGAGAGAGAGAGAGAGAGAGAGTGGTTGACTACTGCGGGCCACCGGCACACGCATCGATGTGCATATGTGTATTTTTGGCCCGCAGTAGCCAGCTTCGGTCTACATCAGGATGGCAGACCATCCAACAGTTTCTTTGTTGGTGGCGATTGTCTCTATCTCTGGGTCCGGAATAGGGCTCTCTCTCTGTGTGTCTCTATCGTAGCCCTTTTATATGTGTTTACTTGCATGCGTTCTGACGTTCATGTCTTGCTTAATTCCTGGTTCTGACGCTTGCGTTTCGAAATAAGGGTCCGGCATGTCGGAGTTGTGCCGTGTTGTTCAGTGATGTATGGATTCATGTACGGCGGGAGACGCAAATGTTGAGTAGTAAATACTAGTGTTGCCACATTACATTTACACATAGAGAGTGTTTGTTAGGTCCCTGTTGACGCCATTGTATGGAAGCAGTGAGGCTCCCTCTCTGTCTCTCTCTCTCTCTCTCTCTCTCTCTCTCTCTCTCTCTCTCTCTCTCTCTCTCTCTCTCTCTCTCTCTCTCTCTTGCTGTGTCCACGCATTTCTCTGTATATACAATGCTTTCCAGATGTCAAGGTTCACCACGACCAGACAGAAAAGAAAGTTGGGCGGAGAGTGTCATGCAAGGATGGATGAGTTCCTTCCCCCACGCGTCATGGACCATAAGACACCTGAAACGGATCGAAACAGGGGTCGGACTGTAATTAGCGACCGAGAACATATAGGCAGGCTAACAGAGGAGGTGCATAAGCAGAAAGTACTGCTTAGAGAGATGTCAGACGAACTACGCCGCCTCAAGTCGCTCCTCGACGAAATGACAAAAACTGCGGAGCACAGGATGTTCACCGTGTTCTGGTTGTTGCTTGACAACATGAAAGATATAGACGTTACTCGTCTGAGGGAGGACATGTCAGCCAGACTTCAGGCAATTGCTGAAACGAAGAACACCACGTTCGACGAGTTTCAGGCATGGCTGGATATTGAAAGGGAAAGGCGCACCGCAGTCTTGAAGCGGTTCTCCGCCCACGTCACGAAGACAACAAACGGGGAGTCAGACGGAGGGGATGTCATGTGTCTTGCCAGCTGCGGAAAGTGTGTGCTGAAGGAGGGGTGGGCATCGTACAATAGCCAAGATTACAACACAGCGTTGCAGAAATGCGAGACGGTTCATTCCCTCGAGGTGTCTCTGTCGTCGGAGGACAACAGTGTATCCGGTCTGCGCAGCGGGGCGCTCAGTTATCACACGCAGTCAATCATTCGAGCGCACAAAGGTGTCGACGATAATGGATATTCACGATATGTAATCCCTCTCTCACTGTACTCCGACAAGACACACACAGACGGTCCTCAGAAACAGACGGCATTCCCTCTTATGATGTCGCTAGCCGACCACGCGTCGGAAGCCACTCTGCTGGCCTATCTTCCCGTGCTTCATCATCGACCCCGTGACCACGCGTCGGAAGCGAAAGACCGTCATCTTCCACAAGGCCCTTTCGACGGTCTTGCAAGCTGCGAAGGAGGCATCGCACGACGGCATCACGATACCGTCGACGCGATTCGGGGACGTGACTGTCCACCCTTTCCTCCTCAATTATATACAGGACTACCCAGAGCGATGTGCGCCGGCGAATGTGAAGTTTGGTGTATGCCCTACATGCACCGTGTCGAAAACGGACCTCGATGTCGTGGCCGATTTCACGGACAGCAAGAGATCCCAGACGCTGGAAACTCAACTCGCAGCAGCTGTGTTCACGGCGAACGACGATGACGTGCGCCGTGCGGCGGAAGGGCGAATGGCGGAGTTGGACATGCATAGGCATGTTGAACAGAACGGCCTTTGGAGGTTCTACAGGGGGCCGAGTGGCGATGATCCTCAGCTAGACTACCACCTCGCATTGCAACCAGACCGTATGCACACGATCGAACACGGCATATTCCTGCACATGATCGACGCATTCAGGGCGGCAGCCTTTGAGAAGTTGTCGAACACACCGCAAACAGATATCCTGAATGAACTCGATGCGAGATTGCAATGCGTTAGTGAGAGATATACGCGAACATATCCCCAACTTGTGCTGCCCGTGGCCACAGGCAGCGATTTTGTTTCTCGAGAGGGACGCTTCGAGGCGAAGCAAAACCGTTTTGTAATGACAGTGTGCGTGTTCCTCATTTTTAATATTATCCCTCGCTCGACAGGCAAGGGCATTACCGCTTGTTTTGTTAAGCTGATGCAAATGTACGTACGGTTGTTTCGGCGCACAACACACACTCAAGCTTCCCTCGACGAATGTGACGCGTTGATGACGGACTTCGTAACGACCATAAAAGCGAAATTGGGAAGATACCAACCATCAAATTGGAAACTCCCGAAGTTGCATGATCTAATGCATATGAGAACAAGTATTGAGCGATCTGGTGTGGCCGACATATTCGCTGCAGACGTTTGGGAGCATCACCACAGGAGATTCTGCAAACAACCGTACATGTCATCGAACAAAAGGAAAGCGTCAACCCAGATGGTCAACCACGTGCGTCGGTCGCTGGCGTTGCAGGAGGAGACCGCATTTGTGAGGAAAAGGAGGAAGAGGGCCGTCGAGAATAGGTCTTCTATGACGGACTGTATGGCAACGGGGATGAACACCCTGGCACTACGCGATACGTCAATCCTTCAACTGCGCTGATTCGACATCGATCAGGACCAGATATGTGAGGTGGAAGACATTGACAGTCATGCGTGTAAGATACTTGAAGAGCTCCCTTTCAGAACCGATTTTCGAGCAGCGATTACGACGTACATGGCGGAGAATGGTTGTCAACCTCCTCCTGATGATCTCCCTATACACACACGAACACATCTCGCCATCGCTTCCACGCAGGATGGAACAAACAGGGGGACACTTGTTCAAACTGCACGAGCGTCGCCGCGGTTCCACGGGAGACCAATGCACAGCGACGTCGCAATAAGAGCAGCCAACGAATGCACGTGGTTCGCATCAGTAGCCATGTTTTTCGTCGTCGATGCACCCACAGACGGCGGTAATGTGGAACACAAGTGCGCTTTTGTGCAGTGGTACACAGAGGTTGACAGTGAACGGGAACACGTGACAGGTTGCAAGGAATTGAAATGGGAGAAGGCGAATGAACATCAGCACAGCAGCGTCGTTTC